CACTTCCTAATGTTATCATCTTAGTTTAATCATAATAACCTTGTATGTATATGTGAGAGAAGAAATAAAGATTATTATTATTATTAACTTCTGTATGTAAAATTAAGTATGATTGTTTCCCCCCCTCAAGAGTCGTGTGCAGGCTAGTCGATTGAAAGGAAGTTGCATGGATCTGGTTAGCGCAAACGTGGATATCATTTAACACGCGTATTAATAAGCATTTGATTGTAATTTTAACATGTGTGATGTTTGAGAACAGAAACAAAATATAATATTAGTGTATGAAATCAGCCTTACCCACGCCGCATTTTGGCGCTTTGTCCTGGCTATAAGAAAAATATATCCGAGATGGCAAATTGCAGCATAGCCAAAGGAAAAACAGTCTGTTTGTTAGACAGCAAACTGTACCTACATGTATAATCTAGTCTTACACGTACGTCCTGCCCGCTATTATAGTACAAAAGTTAATTACTTTACAGCTTAATAGAATATTAACCTTTTGTGCGGTGAGCTAGGTAGGTAAATATACTTTTTTGTTTAATTTTATATTTTTTTCTCTCGACATAGTATTGGCATAGTAACGTAAGGATAATGTATGTATTTCTGTAAATAAATAAATATCATCTTTTTTCTCTTCATTAATTCCGTTCAAGAATGAAATGAGACGAAGGTAGAGGGGTTTTATTGTCTACTCAACTTTGCGGACCAAATGAGAAATGGTTTCAGTTCAATAATATTATGTTTAAATTGAACATTTTATTTTAGATAATCTACGGCCTAATAATTTTTGTCCCGCCTGGGACAGGGACCGAACCCATGTCCATTATATATATGGGTAAATAAATATGTATATTAATACTTTCACTTTTTACTCCGGGGATGTCGAGCCGTTATACGCACGCAAATCGTTTCATACGCACGAACATTAAACTGGGCAGATATTTCTCCAACTAAGTTGATTTCGAGTGATTAAGAGTGACATATCTCAGGTTATATACTACTCTCAAGATAAATACAAGAGCGGGTACTCTCAGATATAATTTGAGAGTCAGCTTATCTGTTGCAAACTTGGGTCGGCGGTCAATGTTTGGATTTGTTGCTGACGCCACTTCGAAACAAAGGCTTACACTATTTCGGCAGGATGAGATTTTTAGAACATCATTAATAGTCTCAAACCTTATTCTATAAGAAACCAAACCGTAAACTTCGTCCGTTAAAAACGTCTATGACTATTTCCATATCACGAAATTCAGCAATGAGATTTTACGGAGATAGTCATGGAACAAACGAATGTACATTATATGACTAAGTAAAGTGAAAAAAACACGCAACAAAATTTCGGAATATTTAAATTGTTCATTTATACATGGCTATTGGAATTACTTGCGCAGTAGCTGAAGTTTAATTTGAAATTCTGATCTATTTTATGTTTCTTAACAGAATTGCAGATTACGCAGGAAATTTTATTATGCACTGCTATCGAGTAGGTTGGTTTTGTTTTCAACATGAGTTTAAAAAACGCGAACAAAAAAGTAAGTCAAGTCAAGTAATTTAAAGTTATTAAAAAGAAGTTTAACTGTCTATCTTTATCGACCGATACGACAGTACCTACTCTTTTATTGAGTGTAATACATCTTTAGTCTCAAACTTTTTCAACTGAGAGGAACACAATGTGTGTTGTTGAATACCCGTTCTAGTTAAACGGCTATTTCCTTATCAAATAAATAGTTAGGTCCATCAATGACTTATTATTTCCGTAGTTGATATAAGATATAAATCAATGATATCACACTCACAATGTTAGCGGTAAAAAGGAATGTTTACTAATCTATAATCGAAAAAACATAAACAAAGTATATCATGTACTTCATCTATTCAGAAAAAAATTTTTTAATGAAAAAGTGGTTTCTGATGCGTGAATATTATAATTATATACTTCATATAATAATTTGCATCATTTAAAAGAAGTTTTAGAAAGATATATTTTTTGTAACTATTGAGAGTAGCATTATACTATTATAAGTATAATATATATATATTAAATATTCAGTTCCTATTTACATTTTATTCTAAACATCACATAGTATAAATATAAACTCAATACTATGCAAAAATGAAGCTTTATTTTGTTTTCTTCTTAAGTAATTATAATTATCTGTTTCGGTTTTATATTTAATAAAAAGGAATTTATAATAAAAGCTTTAATGACTGATAAAAATGTTATTACTATTAAGCATTATTTATCGTTTTTTTTGTTTGACTTAGAATTCATTTTTAACCTAAAATTCTAAAGCCACCGTTACGAAAGTTGTTATTATTTCTTCTTCATTAATTGTGAGGATCACGGTATCAACAAGACGAAATCCAAAAGTAAAATATAATGACGTGGTTCTTATACGAAACTCTTCGTTTGGAAATCTTATGAATTTGGAGCTCGTTTGTTACAGTAGGTACTTGTAATGAAGGAACTTTTCTTAAATCATTGCTTTTCATCAAAATAATATTAGCCAGGTAATGTGGTGATATGTAAAATAAGTGTATAGAGAACATACTTTGTTTGTTTTACTGAAGGTGGCGCGAGAATCGAGATTTGCCAATCGCTTACAAATCCGGTTAGAACTTAGAACCGACTAGTGATCGTCCTGTATTTACTATGTTGTCTCTGTCTGTCTGTACTATTGCATTAACTAAAAAAGTCAAATGTCAAAAATCATTTATTCATCTACATGAGGTAACACAATGTACACTTATGAACGTCAAAAGAAATATACATTAAATGCTTCAAATTTTACATTTACTGCCAGTTCTGAAATCAAGGGCGTAGAACGGAAGAGAAGAATTGGCAGTCACAAACGTTATTTCAAATATCATATCCTTAAAAACTCAATTAGGTATCTTTTTTAGTTTTTACTCTCTTATCGTATCGACAAGAATATTAGAGTCATTGATATAGAGATTAATACTAACCGTCTTTAATTTATTTGGCAAATACAAGAATTTCATATATTAATAGAAATTTTACATTCGCTAATTAATAATACAAGGGCGTGCCATGTACCACACGAACTTTTTACCGAAGTAATTAATTAGTTACTTCGTAATTTAAGGCTCGGCATACCATTATTTAAAAGGAAAATTGAAGGCGAAAGAAGCGAGGAAATGAAGGAAGATGTGTATTATTGTTGGCTTATCTATTTCAGAATCATGATCGTTTTCAGTTTCATTAAACATTCTGTTCGTTTCTGGGTAGGGCTAATACGTGATACGGGTTTGGCTAATTACATTAACATTTCGTTAAAATGAATTAATGACACAAGACGGCTGCGACCGCCATTTAACTGATTCATTGTGACTTGAGACTCACAAAGAGATTTAAGTAATGTACATTGGTGATGTTATGCAAATGAAAAGTTACTTAGGGGAACAGGGGTCATGCGTTGAACACTAATTCCCTCATCTTCCTGAATTTGTTAATCAGTTAATAAAGTTATTCAACAGGTTTAATTTTGAATAACTATAGTAACTGATTAACAAATTGGTTGTTAACAGTTGGGTGCTGACAACTATCCAATTATTTCTAGATATTTCCCACGGGATGACCGTCACCCCAATATTATCCGCTTTGTCGGATAATTTAGGAAAAGCTTTGTGTATTTCTTGTGGTAATCAATGATATCAAAATACGAGCAATCTTTACTTTATCAAGACTTTCAAGTTTCACAATACCGTTTCACCATTACCGCTGGGCCCTGCGATTGCTTATGTCACGGTTGTCACGTTTCTATAAAGGGTATATTTCACACTTTAGACGCATAAGATATCACGGTTTCCACTCACAAATCGGTAAAATTTAAGTTCTATAATATAATATACCTATAAATAAAACATTACTTTTATAAAATTTTAATTTATTGTATTGTACCACCTTAAAATATATTAAACAATTTGTTATAATCTCTATCAATACAAAAATGCGTGGTTATAAATAATAGCGTAAGTAATTTACAAACGTTAACTCGGGAAATATTTACGGCTAAGGTAATACAATTGATACAACAAAATAGAACATTTATTTATTACAATTGACCTCTCTCTGATTAAATATACAATTGAAATGTATACACAAAACTTATCGTAAATATATTAGATTTGGACCCTACTTATTAATTGTAGAACACTAAAATAATATTGTTACCACTTCTACTTTTCTATTACTAAATTTCAGTTTTTGCGTCATGGCTCAGTAGACGCAAGAACTAGACTCTCGTACAAACGGCCTTAAGCATTCTTGCGATCTCGACTCGCATTAAACTAAAATTATAAACACTTACTTATATAATTGATTCGCTCTTACCCTAGTTACGCAGAAAAATGCTTAATTGCGAAATAGAGAAATGTGCCAAGCGACCCGTCACGAAATTGCTACGTGAACACCTGAAAAGAAAAATAAAAAATATTACAGATACGCAACATTTTATTATAATAATTTAATTTCTCCAAAGAGAACCGAGAGGTTTGATAATATTTTAAACAATTTCTTTTGTTAAATAAGATGCTTATCAATCGATTTAATTAACTTTTTTCTATCAAAGGAAATAAGCATCAGTTTCATTTGCACTGTTTTGCAAGCTGAGTGGAGTGCGGCGATGATTAGTAAAGTGGAGAGACACGGCCGTCATTTGTCTTTTATTTAATTGCTCTCTGAAGCTTATTGTAAAGGGTTTTGCGTTACGCAAAGCGCGATCAAGTGACTGACTTAAATTGGTTTTCATTCTTTCTTATTTATTTGCTTGTTAATTAAAAACCCTTTTGAAGTATCAAAGTGTCTAATTATATATACGTATATATTATATACGTACAAAGATTAACATATTTTTATGAACGTCTGTATAAATCGGAGCGAAACCCGCCTGAATCAACAAATGAATATTTCTAAAACAAACCTGTACAACTTATATAGTACTCTCCTCCACCACCCTGCCGAGGGCGGGGATTTGTCGCTAAAGAGGTCCGGTTACCTACAACAAATTGCATATTTTTTACAATTCTGACTTTTAAAATATGTGTTATGCAACGAATATAATATATTCACGTTATTTTAAATATGTATTACAAAATCTTTTTCCAACATCTCACATATGATTATTTTACACTCGATTAGACCAAACCTTGGCTGTTTACGTGAAATAGCTTTAAATATCCCAAATTTTTCAAGCAGGGATTGTGAGGTCCAGCCTTTATCTGCCTAAAAGGGTAAACTGTGAAAGTTGACTAAATGTTCTGAAAGGGAGGTTCGCGTTCCTTTTGTCTGAAAGACCGAATCCCTAATGCCTGTATAATGCATATTTAAGGAGTTGCTCAGGCGACAAAGGAGTTCATCACCAATGGAGCTTAATGTCAGATTATAGTTCGTCCACTTTAAGGACAATTTCAAAAGCAGTAAATACGTCGACGGTATTTAGAATGCAACGAACACTGTTTTTGTATTATGTGTGTGTAATGTGTACTTCGGTATAAAGTAAATATATTTCCGCATTTAATTTGAATCTACGGGTATTAATATTCATTAAACGCCCAAAAACAGGCATTAAGCCTTTTTGAACAGACGTTTGCTTTCGAAAATCAATTGCTTTCAAAGATATTCAAGAAACGTAGATACTTAATATTTATAATTTCGGAAACACATCTCGGATTAGCTAAGCCGCTGGTTAAATGAGCTTATGATGGATTCATTTGAAAATAACAACAACAGAAAACAATTAAATTCTAGCTAATTGAAATTAGTTGATATGGGTTTTGTATCAAAGACGCGCACTCCATCATTTCGTTTTATTCGCCCGACGAAGCCACTTGAGCTCGCTGTTATAACTCCTCTTACAGTTTAATCTTACAAGATGAAGAATGCTAAAATACGACAGTAGACAGTTACTTAATTGAGTATTTGTCACTAAAGCTAATAAATAAATTCGTAACAAAATACAACAATCGCGAATTATTTAATGAACTTTTTATGAAAATTATTTTCGACTTCATTTTAGTCTCACCTTTAAATAAATAAAAATTTATTATAAAATCTAAAATTCATGTGTTCTATTCGCATCTCCAGGTCGTAATGCAATGATTACTTCTAGGGTTTCGGTGATGCGCCAAGTTAACCACTAAACTACACAAATATATAAAAAGTTTATACCTGTGTAGTTGCTTCCTGTTTAACAGCTAGCTTCGGGGAGTCTTCAGCGGTTGAGAATATACGTCGAACGAGTCTGGCGAAGGTACACCTGAACTGGCGACTCATGCTGCAGTACAGAACAAAGTTCACAGATGATGTGAACAGTGCGAGGACGTCCATTAGGTCACCTAATTAATAAAAATATTCGTCAGTGAAATAAGCATACACAGTGAACAAATAAATTTGATGTAGGTTTAAGATATTTGTATTTGTAATCCTGACGAAATAGAATTTCTATTATTTTTAATTTGTAAAGACTGGGGCACGAAGTCGATTAATATATTATCTTAAACGGTTGTCTTTAAGGTAGGAATTACAAAATGTAAGAATAAAATTACACCTACGGAAGAGGTAGGTATATGAGAAAAACAACCCATTCCGCGTGAACAAAAAGTGAACGGTAATACAGTCGAGTTGAAAATTCGCGCAATCCTCTAAAAAATGCAGAAAATTCTCGACTAAATTAATTGAATTTATTGGCGGAACTTTCGCCCGCTTTCAGAGCGTTTTAGTCGGTTCTAGTGCTGCGCTAACGAGCGGCTCAGTGTATTTTTAAAAATGCTGGCATTTGGTAATAATTATTTTCGTAACCTTCCTATCTGCCATAGGTGTAAAATGAAGTAGATCAATTTGAGCATGATCGATTTCTTGGCACAGCTTTTTGCATTGTTTATTGTTAAAAGAATTCAGTAAAACGCGCTAAAAGCAAAGATTCTTTTCAATTTTCGAAGAATACATAAACACGTCAAATTGATTAACGGAAAAGGCGTCTCCGTTGGAATTAACCACAACTTGTGGAAAAAAAAAATGTATAATACGGCTTTAATTTAACGGTTCATTCTTTAAATGAATTTTGTATTTTCTCGTCGAGTCTCAGAGAGTGGCTCCAGAAGAGTAAAGATGACTTTAAATGGCTTTTTTTGTTTTTAACAGGCGTAAGCAGAAGAGAGGAAATAATTTTTAATAATCATAAACATATTTAACCGGAATAAAAACTAATTTATCCCGATATTATGAAAACTACTGTTCCCGTTTCCTATAATAACATGATAAATTCTGCGCAATGTAACACGAACTGAATGTTATATATAAAAGATATTTTAGAACAATGTGCCACAATAAACTTGAACACGTACTATTGTAGTCCCGTAATCCACATGCGCTACATTGGATTCGTCTATAGATGTGTCTATCGGACGTCGGCGGAGTAAATGAGCCGAGGGATTAGGCCTTCGGATTAAAGTTAACTACACGTTGTCCTCAATCTTAACGTTTCTCCTAAAAATGCGTTCTTCCCTTAGGGCTCCTTCTCGGTGCCGTATTTGGTTTAATGGCACTGTCAGACTGAATTGAAACTGCAAAGTTGCCGAATATTAAACAATGTTTGTTTGTACGTTTATTAAATAATGTCTTAAAGTAATTTTATTTCAGTTTATATCTGCAGACAGGAAAATAATAAACACGGTGATAAATCTACCTAAACCGAATCATCCTACAGCGAGTCAATACTAAAAGAATAATCTTGTAAAAGCTGTGACGTAATTCACGTAAACTTTATGTTAATGCGCACTTTGTACCTGCTTCAGATGGTTTAAAATATAATAAAATCTTAATAAATTTTAAGGAAGAGCTCAAAACCTTGAATTTTAAATCCAGATATAAATTAGACAAGAAACGTATTTTTGTTTATGTGATATCAAGTGATGTCTTGACGATTACACAAATTTATTCCTTATCTATCTCTACTCTACGTAGCATTGAAATTTGGCGTTTTGACTCTTACGGACATTATTGAGACAAAATTCACAGAAATAAAAAGGGTAATCTTATTTGTATTGACAAAAATTACAAATTTATACGACGACAAACTTCAATATTGAAATATGTAAGACTAATCAAACATTTTGCATAAATTTGTGAAATCGAAATTCGAGTGACGGAAAGTATATTGCCAGCTCTTCTCGTCGGAAAAAAAACCTTAGATTTTAGAACCATAATCCTAATTGAGGAATATATATTTCCTAACATATATAATCATTATGATTAAATCACAACTACAAGAAACAATATATATTAATAATGAGTTTGAATAATCGTAAAACTTTTACAGTCTTCGTCGTTACCGTGCCTGTACTTTTGAGCAAACATAAATCAAATGTTTAGCAGAATTTCTCATACACAACTTGAAAGTATAATTAAGAAAAAGTAGAGTGGTGGAACCCTTTTTTAGAAATGAGTTTTAACTAATTTTTATTTGGAATTTATTGAGCTAATTTATTAAAATGTGTAAAAAATTCCCTTACCGAACATGCTATAACAACTTTTAAAGAAGTCAGGCGCCAAAGCACTGACTAGCCCTAATAAGCCCTGCGGCACTTCCGTTGAGAGAAACAGCCCTAGGACCGCCAACAGCATTCTAGTCGTTCTGTCTGTTCGACTCGAACGCCGCCCTGCACTTGACTCTTCTGCTAAACACTGTTTTTCAGCCTGTAAAGACAATTATTATGGTAATTGTTCTGGTCCGTATTCCGTTTCCGTTCGGTAAATACCGTCTCTCTATGACAGCTGATATTCTTTCATTACAATTTCTTTAGCAAGCTAAACTGATATCTTAAAAGATATTAACAGTCTATAAATAGTATGAGGGAATATATACATTTATGAAAAATAAGTTAAGTTTTCTAATTTGGCAAGATTACCCAACTCAAACAAGGCCCCTTAAACATTTGAAAAGTTGTAGAAGTTGCCGTTGAAGTTGAACATTAATTGCTCCTTTTTAAGTTTATTTAGCTTATTCATTTAAATACTTGCCTCGTTGGGCCCTACGCTCGAGCGCTTCAGTAGTTTCTGTCTCCTTCTGTCTGTCGTCGTTAATTTCGATATCAGACACGAACTCAGTATCGATAACGCTATACAGGGAACGAGTTTAAGTATGACACTGTAAATCCACATAATGGCCGTCACCAGTTCTTTATTCTTAGACATTTCTAGAACGTAAACGGTCCGGTTTTGCGGTAACGACAAATCCTCCGCGAACTGGGAATTGTTTTTCGCGGTCACTTCGCTCGACACTATATTCATTGCGAAATAAATAGGTAAACACAGAAAGGGGCAGATCACATAGGCACTCACGATGGCGATGGAAGTATTTCGCTTACTGCACCACGATCTATTCCTGTGGGGGTACGCGATCGCTATATATCGCCACACGGCTAGAGTGACGGCCAGCCAGATGGATATCGTGTGAAAAGTCTGACTGAATATGGAATGAAAGTAAACAAAAACGGTCCACGCATAAGTATTCTTATTCACTTGCGGTCCGATTTTGATATTCATATGCAACACATACGGTATATATTCGAGCATCACCAAGAGGTCTGCCACGGCTAGTCCAGTGAGGATGGAGTTGGTGGGACTGGACATCTCCCGTCGACTCAAAACAGTGATGTTTATAGAGTTGGTCGCAGAACCGACTATGCATATTACGATGGCGATGTAGCCGTGAAGACGGCTGTACACTTTGTTGAAACTTGTCGCTCCCGGCACACAATACAGGTCGGTCTCATTAGCCATTATCTAGCCTCGTCGACTTCTTTGTCTTCAGTCTTTGATTTTATTGGTCCTTCCCGCGCCTATACGCGTCGGTGCCTCTTTGAAAAACATTGTTGTCCCTGAAAGAGAATATTATAAGAATTATTTGGACTAATGTAACCAGAGGAAGATACAAACGTAGGGATATTTTCAATAAAGTGCCAATTAGGTCAAAGCCGTTATATAAAAAAACATCTTAAATAGCTAAGTTAATAATAGACGCACGTTTGCATCATAATCAAAATTGGTCCATTTATACGAGTTAGGTCTTTGTTGAACTCTTAATTCCGAAATTTAATTAAAGGAGATCCGTCCCATCCCTTCATTTCCAATTTATTATCCGAAAGGAGGCGACAGAAGATGTACATCGGCAAGCCGCAAAATTCTCGTTGGTATCGATCCGACTTCATCCCAATAAAGGGCTTAGCAACGTTTAAAATATCGATTTTAAAACGCCTAAATATACCTTTGTGCACAACGCAATGATGACTCTAATTGAGTGTAGTCGATTTAGAAGATCGCAATTTCAATCAATTCAATTATTATTTTTCCTCAGTAATTGTATCTATCACTTAGGTATAATGCTCAAAATTGTTAAGACACATTTAACCGAGATTTAATGACGGTGTTTTTTTTTTGTGAATTTACATTTATTTTATTTTGTATCCGTATATTTATGTTTGTTTTATTTATTTATCATCTAACAAGTATTTTACAAAAGCTAAGAAACGCGCAGAACGCTCAAACGTGACAGCTAGTAGGTACTCGTACTCGTTCTTTTAGTTCTTTATATTAATTATTAGTTAAATCAACGTTATTAGCAAAACCTAGTGCCTGCAATAAGCTTATCCGGCTAGCTTTTGTGTGACAACGGGTGTAAGTGTTTTTCGGTAAGAAAAGAGTTTATTTTGTTTACTTGAACGATGGTCAAGATCTGAAAAAATTTAACCTGAGTGTTTGATGACGTCACAATAAGTTGAAATCGTCTTAATGTTAGTGTAGGTTTATAATTAACATTGTCTTTGGCTGGCAATCAATTATCATTGTCTAGCCATTAGGATGATAAAGTTTTTTTTCTCTTAGTTTAAAGTATAGAATAAATGTAGGCATTTTAATGTTTTTACTGCGTTATCATATATTTTAGTTAGATGATTACATTCATAGAAAGAAGCACACCGTTAAGACACAACAAAATACTTTAGGTGCGGTACAACGCACTTTTAATTTAATGTTAAGTACTATGCTACACAATAATCTCATGGAACTAAGTAGATGGAACGGCGAAACGTTCGATGACACTTCGAGAGATGCGAACGAAAACAAGGTCTGATACATCATCTTCATGAAAAACCAACGGGTAAGTACACGGGTGTGCAAAATGCGTAACAATAACAATATTTTGTCGGCACAGGCACGAATCGCAGTTTGCCTCTACATTATGTTGATGACAGCTTCGAGAAGGAAGCCAGTAAACGTATAATAAATGCCAAATATTAGGTCCTTACATATGAAATTGGCGTATTTGGTACTGGCCACTTTAATCACGATGTTCTCCTCTTTGGTAAGGAATTCCAAATTCGGATTTGTACAGCTATTTACTAATGTATTTGTGCTTCGATGACCGTCATTCGTTTGTTTTTTTCTTCTGTTTTTTTCTGTTTGCGTCACTCATTTTACAAAATGGAAAACTTAAAGTATCGCATTATTTACGAGTACGAGTTCCGCCGTGGCACTAGTGCTGCGGAAACGACTCGAAGGGTGAATGATGTGTATGGCGGTCATGTTGAAAAAGAAAACACAGTTCGTTTTTGGTTCCAACGTTTTCGTTCTGGAAATTTCGACCTGCAGAACAAGCCCCGTGGATGGCCTGAGACCCAAGTTGATAATGAAGTATTGAAGGCTATTGTGGAAGCGGATCCATCGCAAACCACGTCCGAGTAAGCTGCAGGCTGCGGTGTTAGTGATAAAACTGTTTTAATTCACTTGAAGCAAATTGGGAAGATTAAAAAGCTTCAGTCAACATCACGAATTGACTGAAGCAAACCGGCAAACGCACGTCGATTGCTGCGTTACATTACTGAACCGGCACAATAATGAAGGTATTTTAAACCGAATCATTACCTGTGATGAAAAATGGATTCTTTACGATAATCGGAAGCGCTCAGCGCAATGGTTGGATCCTGGCCAGCCAGCCAAATCCTGCCCCAAGAAAAATTAACCCGAAAAAAGTTACTTGTAAGCGTTTGGTGGACTAGTGCCGGTATTGTTCATTGCAGTTTTCTCAAATCTGGCCAGACTATTACGGCTGATGTCTATTGTCAGCAATTGCAAACCATGATGGAAAAGCTAGCGGCTAAACAACCTAGGCTGGTCAATCGCTCCACGCCACTGCTACTTCACGACAACGCTAGACCACACACTGCACAACAGACGGCTACCAAATTAGAAGAGCTTCAATTGGAATGTCTAAGACATCCTCCGTATTCCCCGGACCTTGCTCTGACAGATTACCATTTTTTTCGAAATTTGGACAACTTCTTGCAAGGGAAAAAATTTAACTCTGATGGGGCAGTCCAAATCGCCTTCACATATTTTATTGATTCCCGTCCGACTGGTTTTTTTAGTAAAAGGATCAATGAACTACCTATGAGATGGCAAAAGTGCATAGAAAACAATGGGTCATACTTTGATTAATTAAATATATTATATTTAAAAATATTCGATTTTTTGTTCCTCCCATACAAAACGCCAATTTCATATGTAAGGACCTAATATTTAGTTTATAATAAATTAGTCAAGAGTGTTTAGCGTAAACGTGATTGGTAGAAGGATTAGTTAACCACCTATTTAAAAATATAATTGGGTTTTAGCTAGCATAATATATTTATACATATACCTACTTCCTAAAAAAAGATATAAATCAATTTGCCTAAAAGGAGTCGAAAGCCAGATAAAGACGAGGTCCGACTTAAAACATTTCCTTAGGATTACAGGCTCGAGGATTTAAAGCTTACTCATTTTTATCACAGTTAAGTAGATTATATTTTTTATAAATTTAAAACTTAAGTAAAAAAAATAAAAATAATAGTATTTTACCTTATACTAAAATCTTGTTGGTCGATGAAGGTCTCATCGTTGCCAAAAGAACAAAAGCAATCAACACTTTAATACCACATCAACGATTCGATAATGATCTGGTTTCTTTTAGCCTAATACGTAGTTATGTACAAATATGTAATAATAATTCTTACGTTCTTATTATGTAGAATAATTAGAACTAGATACGATTTTAGAGAATTATTATTGATAATATGTAACTTAAGCACCTTATTGAAAACCAGGATAACTGATTTAATAACAAATACTTAAGCATTGAAGGTCCCTACTTATCGATATAAAAGAAATAATAAGCATTTAAAAGTTACACATTTACAAAGTTACAAGATCAACCACATATTTTGGGCATTAACAAATTGCGCAATGTCAAGGACGGCGAGCAGTTGATTGCTACTTTAGTTGTTTATGTACCAAATGAAAATCATGTATTATTATAGATTTAGTAATTAGTACGTGGGTAACACTGAAAATGTTTAGAACTGGCCAGTTAGAAACATTGCTAATGAAAACTTTTTTGAGTTTCAATTTTAGAACTCTATGGTAACCTAATGTAGTATTTTTTTTTTTTTTTTAAAGACAATTCACACCAATTGACCTAGTCCCATGCTAAGCTGGCGAAGCTTGTGTTATGGGTACTAGACAAACGGATATACATACATATTATACATAGATAGACATATAAATACATATTTAAACACCCAAGACCTAAGCACAACATAAAATGCTCATCACATCGATGTTCGTCTCAGCCGGGGACCGAACCCGGGACCCATGGTTTCGAAGTCAGGGGTACTAACCACTAGACCAATGAGTCGTCAAAGTATATTGCATTCATTTGACATTTGTTTTTGTGAATTGGCGGCAAATCTAAAACTCTTGTTACACGTGAAAATGAACCTAACGCGAGAATTTTTCGGTCAATGATTTATTATGACTTTCGTTGTGGGCTTACTCAACAACAAAGCTTTGATAGCATCTCGTACCACTATTTACAATTGGTTTAACGAGTTTAAGCGTGGACGTAGCAATCTCATTGATGATCCGCGTGAAGGACGTCCTTTAACAGCGACTGCTGATGATAACATTAGTTCTGTGCGATGCATGGTTTGCCGTTTGTACCAGATGGATTCCCCATACTTTAACCGAGGACCAGAAACACCTTCGTATGGACTGGTGTCGCCAAATGATAGATAAGTTCAACGGCAGTGACTCAAATGCTGTATTTGACATCGTCACACAAACCCAAAACTAAAGATAAAATTCGAGGTATTCGCTTTACGAGCCCTGAAGATGCGGTGAAAGCGTACGAAAATGCCATAGAAGAGACCCCTTAGGAAGAATAGGCCCACTGCTTTTCTCAGTGATTTCATGGAATGGAACGATTTGTAGAGAGAAACGGAGATTACATCGAAAAACAATAAAACATTTTTCATTTTCTAAATATTTTCAGTGTTACCTAGGTATAATATATTTCTACCTAATCGCACAATGACCATGTATTCAATTTTGTATAAACGCATAGTTTTAAACAGTAGCGCGAATTGTGTTTGTATTTTAAATCAGCGGCGATAATTTATAAAATTGACACAAAAAATTTAAATGAATAATATTGATATAAAGCTCCCCGAGAGTGAGAGCGAGTAATAAAGTTATCAGTGATCGGAGCTTCGAAGACAAGGGATTATCGAAATATCAATGAGGGTAAAAGAGAACCTTTTCATGCTCATTACATCTCAATAAAGAAACATTTGAAACACGCAGACGCCGATCTAGCAACTTCTTGCAATCGAGGTTTCTATTATTTTATATAAACTTCTACTGTGATTATTGTTAGACATATTTACGGATACTGCTGGTCGATTTTC